CCCTGTTGTTACGCCACTGGTTGAAGCCCTTGGGTGCAATTTGCCCTGCTTGAGTATTAAAGAAAATCAGACCAGTTTCTTGCGTTATCCTGACTTCAAAAAGCTGAATTCTGTTTGATTATAAGTTGATACACTTTCCACATAATATTTAAGTTCTATACTCCTTGACTGACCAGGGGTGTGGAAATTTTTGAAAAAACTACTTGTCCAAGGCTTAAAGCGGGGGCCAAATCTACTTGTCCTTCAAAACAATCTACTTGTCCTGATATAAAAAAAAAATAGTTTTAATTAAAACTAGGGATGCACCAATACCGCTTTTTGGGTATAGAGTACGAGTACCGATATTTTGCTTTCGGTACTCACCGAGTATCGGTGCTTCCGTTTGCATGGAGCAGGCTTCCCGGGCAATCAGGAAGCCGGGCAGCGTGTAATGAGATGCTACCTAGCTTCCTGACTGCCAGGGAAGCCGACTCCATGTTGTTTGGCCGGCTTGATTGTGAATGGCTTGGAAGCCGGTTTCCCAGCCAATCAGCATCGAGCCAGCTTCCTGGCCAATCGGGAAACCCAGCGGCGAGTAATGACCTGATTGGCCAGGAAGCCGGCTCGATGCTGATTGGCTGGGAAGCTGACTTCCCGGCCAATCGGGAAACTGGGAGGCGGGTCATTAGTCGCTGCCCCGCTTCCTGATTGCACGGGAAGCTGGCACCATGTTCCCCTACGGCACTGCCGGTCAGAGGAAATCTTCCTCTGACCAGAAGTTCCGGTATTGGAGAAGATATCGAGCATTTGACTGACTAATATAAATTGGCTATTGGATATTCCTTACTGAATACACACACATTAAAGAGGTATAGCTGGCTAGATACAACCTGCCACAGGCAGAACAACTTTAACTACCTTCCGTCCATGGCCGTTTGTGAACGGCCGGACGGACGTCTGCTAGGAGCGGGAGGGCGTCTTGAGACGTCCTGCCCCTTCTCGTGTGCGGCACTCAGCGCGCACACGAGAGGGAAAACGGTAAGCATGTAAACAGCCAACGATGGCTGTTTACATACAAGCGATCAGGCGTCTCTAGAGATGCCCGATCGCTTGCAGGAGCTGCGGGTGTGTGGCATCAGTCAAAGTACCGCAGCGCTGAATACTGAAAAATGGCCTGGCCAGGAAGGGGGTGAAACACCATGGCCTTTAAGTGGTTAAATGTTTCCAGGTATAAGCAGAATATATTAAAATAAGATAATAGCTGGCTTGAAGAGCTACCGATAAGATGGCTTTTCCAGAAATGGAAATGTATAATTCCACACTGCCTGTAATAAGCAGTTGATAAATAACCAGATTCGGTGCTTGCCACTGATGATTCCCTTTGTGGGAATACTACATCAATAACGTTGGTGATGGGTATTTCTTCTTTAATCCCACATTGGCATGAATAGAAAATCAAGCCATGCTATGGTTGAATTGAAGTTTTGTAATAAGGATGGATGTAAAACTATTGTATGCTCTTAGTTCTTTTTTGGTACGTACCAAGAAGGAAATGAGACCCTATTGTGTTTGCAGATGCATCAAGGCAAATGTGCTAATCATTTTTATTTAAACCGGCCCTATCACTTTTGCGCAGTTCTAAAAACAAATAACATTTGCTTTCAATGATTTTAGAGAAGGATTCTCCTCCCGTGCTCACCTCCGGAACATTTTCAGAGCCTCTCCTATCCTTTCGCACTCCCTTCTTCGACCTCTATTGCTATCTCCTATTCTGTCTACCTTTTTAGGTGATCCCTGGAAATTCATCTGTATAAGGAAGCCTATCCCACCTCTACCTAAAAACCTAACTGTTACTTTCTCCATCAGCTCATCTCACAGTTACTACATTTTGCATCACTTTCTCCTCCCTTTTTTGATTGTAGGATAAACAGGATGACACTGCAGAAGCATAGTTGAAAGACAGTTGTCACCCAATAACTGTAGGTGCCTGAACAAGGACCATTATGGAAATTATTATTAATAAAGTAATTATGAATTAGTAATGATTGGGTTAAGACCTACTTTAAATCCTGAATTACACATTCGCTTCACTCGCACTGTTTGACAAGTGATCTGCAGAGCTAAGAATAAAACTTTATACTGACAGTGTTAAAAGGAAAGTTTGGCTTATTTAGATATGTTCAAAAGTGATCAGCTTCATGTAAATCTGTCTAAAAACATTGCAATCCCTGTGTGGTTTGAATCTTGTCTCAACAGTTTTCTCTTTTTGATGAAATTATCATAAGATCTTGATGTAGTTTTTTTGCTTTTATTTTAAGGCAAATTCTGAAAATCCTGTCCATATATGTTACAAATCATAGTGTCTTGACCAATGGACTGAAAGCTTTAACTACCATCCTTGCTTCAGGTAGGACAATTACATGTGACTATAATTGTTACCATTCTTTATTTGGAATTGAAATAATGACATGTGAGCCATATAATCTACCCTTTTTATTGCAGAAACAATGCTTTATCTGAAGTGGATGGCTGGTGGGTTGTACTCATATAAATATATATATATATATATTTTGAAAGGGGCCAACTGCTGTGTGTGTGTGTGTGTGTGTGTAATATACAGTATATATAATTTTTGAGCAAAATATTTTTGCTTATGAGGTGTGTGTATGTATGTGTCTGTAAAAATACTACTATAAAATATATATATGTATATGTTTTATAGTATTATTTTTACAGTTGGTGCTAGCTGATATTAGCTGGTCTTCTGATACTTGACTTTACCCTCTATGACCAATGCAGTGCTTCCTATAAATTAGCAGTGTGTGTATATACCAAGAATGTTTAATCACTGTGTGGAGAACAAATCTAAACTTGCTTGGAAATATCCATTCTGTATGATTCATTGTACTACTCCTGAGGTCACCTTTTAGTTTGATCCTGTGGAAATTAGGTTTTTGCTTGTGAGGGTGAGGGTGAGGGTTTTTTTCAGTTTTGATTGTCCACACTTCTAAAATATATTTTCCTTTTTATAGATGTGATACATTTTTTGCTTTTGGATAATGATGCAGACATTTTCTTGCTTATATTTGATGCCATGAAAATGTTCCCTGATAAAGAAGAAATTCAAATGTATGGATGCCAAGCTTTATACATCCTTCTAGTGAAAGGTACGCTATTTTTATTTTTTCTATATAAAGTAGGGATGCACTGATACCATTTTATTCCAGATCGAGTACTGATACTTTTCGCCAATACCAATTACTGATACCTCCCTCCTTTTTTTTTTTTCTTTCTTTTTTTTTTTTTTTTTTTTTTTTTTTTTTTTCTTGTGGCAGTGGCAGTTTTTCTAATGCAGACAAATGATTTTTATCTGTGAACCGTCCTTTATATTAGTGCATATAAGCTCATGAAGGCAAATGCCTCTGGAGTGCTTACTTCCAGGCAGTTGTGCTTTTAATTTATTTATTGCTGTGCATCTGCCATAATTGGAGTTTTGTAATGTTAGGGACCACACTATGCAGAGGAGCCTTGAAGGGGCAGTGTGGCTTCCACAAACATCTGCTGCAAATATTTGCTATCAATACCTCCTGTTTTTAAGGAGTGCCAGATATTTCTACCTGCTTTAGGTTTATTTATTTTTTTGTTTCTGTGTCATTGATAGATTTCTCCTCTAATTGTCCTGATCAGTAGTGTCACCGAGCATGAATGCGAGAGGAAAGCCAAAGTTTTCAGTTGCCACTGGAATAGGAATAGAGTGAAGATCTTCCAATGGGGACATGTATTCCCTATGACAGCTGTCTAAAGCTGGCCACACACCTTAAAATTATCTGCAGATTTTCTGTGGTAAGATGGAAAAGGTGCAACAGATTCCTCCATCTACACTTAACTGTGTGGATGGAGGAATCTCCACCTGGCCCAATCTGTTGCACTTTTTCCATCTGATCACAGAAAATCTGCAGATAATTGTAAGGTGTAAGGGCATCTTTTAGGGGGGATTTCCTTCACCTTAGAAATATATCCTCCCATTTCCTGTTGTCTACAGGCAGAAAGTGAAGGGAAATTTCTGATATGCAAAGTCTCAAAAAAAACTAATTGGTTTTAACCCTCCTGTATTCCAAAATCAAAAAAAATCTTTGTCTGTACCCAAATGTAATTTTTTTTTTTTTTTAACAGTCATAGTGCTTTCTTTTGGTGGTAATGAAACACCACTAGGCTATTTTTTACGATATAAAAAAGACTGACCTTTTTTATATAGTAAAAAAAATAAAAACATCCTGTTAAAACACTCCAAATAAATAATTCTTCATACATTGAGGTCACATGTATTTCTTTGGTAAAATAAAACAAATTAGTGTATATTATTTAGACTGTGTGAAAGTGGTAGAGGTATATAAAGTTACTGAACTGAAGTTGCCACAAAGGAATTGAAAGTGCTTCAGGGACATTAGCACAGTCTCTCTGGGACTGTTTTGTCCTAATTCTCTGTGGCTAATTTTGCAACACCCCACTACTAGTATTTAAATTATAGTGTAGAGCTTATATATAACCAACTTTATAACATCTGTTATCCCTAACTATATACAAAAAAGTGCAATGTACATACAAAGCAATAAACAACTATTACTTTCACCAGGTATAATTCCACCTTTTTCTGACCATATACAATCTTCAAACCACCTCCTGGGGGGGAATTTATCAAAACTGGAGCAGAGAGAATCTGGAGCAGCTGTGCATGACAACCAATCAGATTCTCTCATCAGTTTGTTCAGTTAAGATTTGAAAATGAAAGAGAGAGGCTGATTGGTTGCCATGCACAGTTGCTCCTGTTTTGATAAATTCCCTTCTCTGTGTTTTCAAACTGTGCTCCACCCTCGATTGGAAGACTGCTCACCTCCTCAAGTGGACCTTATCTATACAGATTCAGTCAAATGCTTAGCGCCGGTTCACACCACAAAGTCTGCGTTCCAGAGCGTTCGGCCTCTGGAACGCACTGGAATGCAAGGCGGCGCTCCCTGTGTTCAGGGACCGGAGGGGGCGTGGCGGTGCATTGAAGTCAATGGCACCGCACCCACGCCTCCCGCCCGCACCCGGAATGCAGGCACATAAGTGCCTGCATTCCGGTCCAGTGCGATCTGCAAATATAGTGGTTGCAGCATTTTTGCAAATTGCACTGGACCGGAACGCAGGCACAAACGTTCCGGGTATAGGCGATCGCATTGTGGGGGGCGTGGCTGCGGTGCCATTGACTTCAATGCAGCGCCACGCCCCGTCCCTGCACGTAGGGAGCCGGCTGGATTGCGTTCCAGAGGCCGAACGCGTTGGGAACGCAAACTTTGTGGTGTGAACCGGCGCTTAAATAGCAGAGGAAAATTCCCAAGACTGTTCTTTGCTCTCCACCGCAGAATTGCAAACCGAACAGAATAGTGTGAGCCATAAAAGCAAATATTTTTATTTAAAACACAGCTAAAACACACTTCTGTCGTGCATTATCCCGTGCTCCAACAAACTGATTTAGAAAACAAATCCAAATGTCCGTTCCTCTCTATGCTAACCTGCTAGGGACACTGGTATCGTGACTCCGTCCTCCCAAGTCCTGCTCAGCATAATTTTATCACCGGCTTTACCCTATGCGTTGCATCATTCGACTTTGTCAGGGGTTGCACTACTACTACCACTCGTAGTGGTTCCAACTTCACCCGGATATACCGCTCTGCTGGTGCTTGCTGCTGCATTTCAGTATAATGTTCAATCCTTGGAGACAAAGGAGACCTGATTCTTTTAGCAGGGAACCTTTCATCCATTGAATCGGATGTGGTTGCTAGTGCACCGCTGCTTTCTACAGGTTCATACTCTGAATATGACTGTGAGGTAACTTTGCTGCTCTCATCAGTCAGACCAAGATTTTGAAATGCCTCCTCACTAATGTACGTTTTTGGTAGTGGTTGTACTGGTACCGGATGACTGCGGTATTGATGCTGACTAGCAATCGGAACACTGCTATTAGATTTCACTGGTACTGGTGTACTCTGGCAGTCGGGGCACTGGTTCTGGTTGACGCTGGTACCTGATGACACCAGTGCTGGTGTGGCTGACAACAATCAGGACATAAGCTCTGGCTAAACTAGTAATAGATTTTGCTGATACTGGTGTGGCTGGCGTTCAGGAAACTGGTGTTGACTGATACCTTTTTTATTAGGGCAGTATTGATTAAAGATTGATGAATATTATTTGGGTTGTTGGGCTCACATTCTCTACCAGAATCACCTGTACTGAACATAGAGCTGCCCCAATTTTGACCTGATGAAAACTACCAAAAGCATACAGTATTTTAAATGTCTATGCTGAATCCCAGTCAGCTACTGAGTGTATGATGATTTGACTTTTGGGTCCGTTATGGTTTCTACTTTCTCACAGGATTTTATTTATGCTTCTATAATCTTTACTGATTTCTATTAGATTGTAAACTCTTATCAGCAAGACTCATGTTTTGCATCCAGCTCTGTTGTCATTGATACCAAAATGTTTATTGTATGTTTCTTTCTATACAGAATTGCATTACTATATGGTTTTCTGTAGATAAGATTTACTGAGGAAACAATTCCTAAAGCTACTACTGTGTGCCACCCATAACTTCTCCTTTTTATCTGCAGATAGTCTTCAACAGATTTAGACATCTGTGATTGCTGCTTTAATCTGTTGTTATAGCCTACAGGATTACACAAAGAGTATAACTTTCAGGAACATTGGCCAATTCATCTGATTTATTTTTACATTTTAGTAGTATACTTGATGTAAGAGATGCAAATTTTTCATATAATTGCCATGCAATATTTACAGCTTATTTCCTTTTTTATCAGTTCCAGAAGAACAATTGACAGAGTTTGTTGAGAGCAAAGATCATTTAATAATCTTGAAAGTGCTGGCAGAATTTAAGAATACAGAATGTGTTACTTTACCAGCTTTGCGTGCATTGCTTCCACTGGCCGGACCCTGTAAGTTACTGACCTATCCATTGGTATTTATGTTGTCTTTCCCAAATATACATTACAGTGAGGCTTTTCACAAGGTAAGAAAAGAGGTTGATGTAGTGTACCATTGCAACACCTTACTAATTATCTTGGTAAAAGTGCTCATCCTGTTGCTATTGGCGTTGATTTCTGACATTAGACTTGCTGTTGTAATTGACGGGTAACTGGTAAACAAAAGGCATGTCAACAGAGAGCATGATCAGTTTGTGATGTTTCATTGAGGAGCACACAGTCACACACAAAAAATATTTTCAGATGACAGAGTGGCTTAGTGGTTAGCACTTCTACCTTGCAGCACCTTAGTTAGATAGGGATCTTGGATTGTAAGCTTCTTAAGGACAGGGACTTGGGTAAATGTGCAGTACTTAAAGCCCTGAATTATTTCTTAGTGCTATGTAAATGCATGTAATAAAAGAACCTAAAGCTGCGGTCACATGATGCTACGGGGGTGCTTTATGTCCTCTTCTGTTTCAATCCTGTGAGAATTCCTGTGGGTGTCCTTATTTGTGTGTCCATGTCCCTGGATGCATAAAGCTCTTTCTATTGACTGTCCAGCAGTGAGGTTCTCTCAGGATCCAGAAGTGGAGTGACATCAGCATGAGTGGGACTGTAGGTGGAAGCTGGTGAGGGACCATCTGCAGGGCAGGGTTAGCAGTCCTCCGCATGCAAAAAAGGCACCAGTGAGGGACCTGGTTGGCGGATTTTATTTTAATGCATTTTTTTTTCCGCTCATTTTTTAAAATATTTTATTTGTCCTAAGTGAGGTGTTAGGGCTATATATTTATATCACATGTGTGCCTATCTGCAACAATATATAATATATGTTTGGGAGCGCTTAGTAAGAAAGTATATTGCTATCATGGAAGAACAACACAGCAAAAATTTGAAAAGTGCATCAGTCATTAACGAACAGAAACTAAAAAAACAAGCTCAGTCATGGAGGGGTTAATACTACTTTAAATGTTCTTTTGATATATACAAAAAAGAATAACTAAATGTTATTGTTTCTTTATTTGTTTTATGTATTTGCCTAAACATTTTATGTATTTTCAAGAGGCATCTGTATTCATTATATGTTTAGGCTGGGTCTTGTGTCAAATGGTACAGCACTGTTGTTACTATACTGCTCCTCTCAGCTTTCATAACTTTTGTTGGTGGTGTATTTAAAAAAAATATATATATTTGCGCATCAGTCATTGTGGTTTTATTATGATTTCATGCATTCCCTGACATACAGCCCATAATCATATAACACGTGAAAATTGAATAATCTGTAAATTGTGGGTTCAACACTTAACGAATTTTCACTGAATATAAAAACACACCCACATCACATGTAGCCTTTAAAAAAAGAAATAAGTAGTCTACTTTCGGAGGTTTTTCTTCATTCTGAACATGCCGATAACCTGACTTTCTCTAGTTTCAGTAGTTTACTAGTCACTTACCTGAAAGAAGTATACAGCCAATTAAGTCAGAATGGAGAGCTCCTGACCTGTATACATGTTAAGGCTAAAAAAGCAATGAACCCCTTGGATCAGAATAACAGCTAGAACTAGCATATTTGGGTGCTAGCAGAGGCAGCCTACCTGTTTTCCACCATTCAGATTTCCTTTAAAATTTGAGTCGAAGTTTTCGTGCATTTTTTCTAATTTAAAAAATGTTAAAAACCCTTGCTGAATGAATTATAACTTCACAAGCACATCCTAAAAATCAAAAGCTTATGTTTTGCTGCTGCCACTGTGGTTCAGGTCTGGCATTGTGTAAACTAGTATATAAAGAAGAACTTTTTATTAACCCTTGCAGTGGGGCTACCCCCACACCGCAAGGGATTAAAGTGTTCATTTGTGTCTAGGGACAAAAATAACAAAGATCTACTCACCCAAAGCTCTGAACCAGCCAGCTGCCACAGTGCTCCCTCCAGCCTGTCTCCTCAACAGCAGCATTGCAATCTTCCTCAGCATCCTCGGTCTATAAACCGTGCATTAGGGATGCATCGGTACCGATACTGGTATCAGCGCCGATACTGAGCACTTAGCAAATGCTCCGATACTTCCCCCCCCCCATACCAGAACTGCCGGTTAGAGGGTGACTTCCTCTGACCGGCAGTGCCACGAGCAAGCATGGATCCGGCTTCCTGGCCAATCCTGTTTCGCTGGAAAGCTGGCTTCATGCTGCCTAGCGACACTGTGGGGCAGCTTGGCTTTCTGACCAATCGGGCTTCCTGATTGGTTAGGGAGCCAGGCTGCACCAGCGTCGCGAATGAGCGTGAAGCGGCTTCCTGATTGGCCAGGAAGCCGGGCCAATGCTACCTCGGGATACTGGTATTGGTACTTTGTATCGGCGAGTACCTACAAAAAAAGCAATTGGTACTTGTTACCGAAAAACCGACATTGGTGCAAACCTGCAGTGCATGGAATGTGATTATTTACGGGACCTTTAGACCGCAGTGGTAGCCACACTGGAAGGGTTAAAAAAAAAATTATACTTTTAAGACATTCTGCCAGTAGGTGCTCTCATGGACGTGGCACTCGGTGAGATCTGAAATGGTTCTAGTCCTCAGTTTGAGAAATCAGGAGTTGCTCTTCAATAATGACGTCTTGATATGCACTAGCAGTTAGTAATTTGTTTTCATAAGGTTAGTCATTTGTTTAAATTGTGGCCCTTCACTTTTTCATTTAGAAGTTTTCTTTGTGTGGAAAGTAGAATGGCTTTAGTTATAGTATTCATAAGGAAGTAATAACAAGAAGTAGAAATAGCTCTGTACTGAGAATTTTTAAAGAACTGCCTTTATTGTACTGTGTGATTAAATGGGCATCTCATTTCCTTTGGTCCATTTTCTGTTATTAGAGTTTTCAACTCGCTCAAGGGTCCTTCATTTTCTAGCATATGTAAATGTTACTCGCCTTTTATCCCTATCTGCCAAACTGAATGTTGAGCCTTTAGGTTATGGAAGGTCCCATTTTTGTATCAGGTAAAGCCATAGCAGTGGTGGCCAAGATCAGCTTCTAATCTAATGTGCCTAGTAAAACCCTACAAAATGTACATCAGGCTAAAGGGTTAATTGTTGCATTCTTCAGATGATCACATATGCCATCTGTTGGGTTTTAATGTAAATTATATGTTGTCAGACTTGTAATTGAATGTTGCAAAAACATAATATTTTATCTCACCCATGCCTTATGGGAAACTCAATACAGCATATGGACACAGTAAGAACCCATTTAGACATTTCTGGTCTGCTGTGGCGCATTAATGAGCTTTATATTGAAATATGGAAAACGCCTACTTGGGAAACCGCCTACTTTTATATTTCTTTCATGTTCCTATTCAAATAGCATAACTTAAAAAATGATTTTAACCCTTTCGCTGCCAAGCCCTCCGGAACATTTTAGTTGCTTCCTTTTTTAAGTGCTTTTACGTGCTTAAAATTCCTGCCTAGCTTTCCTCGCTATGAAATGTTAAAAAATCAACTCCAGGATAGGAAAATATTATTTAAATATAAGAGGCATGTGGATTCTAACTTGGATCTTTTTGTGCTTTGTTTATTTCTTGCAGATTTGTCCATTAATCTAGTGTGACACTTTGCATCTGTGCATGAGCTTCCTGTAATAAAGACCAGTCACTGCTACTCCCTATCCTTGTACAGGATGACTGGTCTTGTATCTGCCCGCCTTGTGTAGTTGTCTGCAGACATCCTGTAGTGGGTAGACCTGCTGGGTCTCTCCCACAGCTCTTCTCTCTGCACAGACTATCTACGGCATAGTGATGATGTCATTGCTGCTTTTATATTTTAATTATCTTTGCAAAGGTTTTTGGCGAATGCAGAGTGAATTTATATCCTTTGTGGCTATTGAGGAATATATTTGAATGAAAGTTGTTGTGTCTGGAGTGCAGTTTTAAAGTGTATTTCCACTTTTGCAGTGAAATTTGAGAAACCCCTCTGTTATGTGTTCCCATTCACGTGGCATAGCAAAAAGTAATTTTTAAAAACCTATTTCTTACCTTTTTTTTAGATGTGTTGTTGTTTCTGAGCTCCTTCACAGTGATCTGTCCTCATAGAAAGACTTAGGACTGAAATGTGAGCATTGTGCTTCTCTCATTAACTTAATTAACCCCTTCATGACTGAGCTTGTTTTTAGTTTCTGTTCGTAAATGACTGACACACTTTTGACATTTTTGCTGTGTGATTCTTCCACGTCAGTAATATACTTTCTTACAAAGTGCACCCACACATATTATATATTGTTTTTTAGAGGACAGATAGGGCTACATATTTATATCACATATGTGTGTCTAACGCCTCACTTAGGACAAATAAAATATAAAAAAAGAGAAAAAAAACGTTAAAAAAAACACTTTTTTTCCCAGTTTTGATGTGTAGTATTTTTTTTACAACACCAGCACAGCTAAAAAAATGCAATAAATACATTCATTTATTTGTCCCTCATTTTATTTATTTTTTTACACATTTTTTTTTTTCACTTTTCAACTTTTTTTTAAACTTAAAAATTGTATTTGATTTATTTAATTATAGCAAACAGTCATTGTGAATTAATCTCACTGTTACTGCTTGATAAATTAATAAATTTTTGGTTATTATCAGGCTGCTTCAAACTTCAGAACAGCCGATAATAAGTTAGTGACACTGATCCTGCAGCAGTTCAGGATTCAGCTGTCACTATAGGTTTTCTGATTGTTGCAACAACGATCAGCAAACTGAAACATTCTTCTTCCAGGAATAGATACATTATAGGAATAGACACATTATGTATCTATTCATGAAAGAAAAAAAGAAAAAAAAGCCAGTATAGCTTGAGAGAGATATCTCTCTCGATCTATACGAGCTGTCAGAATGCCGGCAAAAGCCGGCATGTGTGTCCGCTTTTCTTTGACTCTCAGACACCCGATATTAAGGTATCGGGTGTCTGAAAAAGGTTAACCCTTTCATTAATGAATGCCTCTGTAGTAAGGGCATCTATTAATGAATGTTAAAAGCTGATTCTCAGCGTTTAACAGCCCTCTAAAGAAGCAAATAACTCGTCACGTACAGTGTACGTGACAAGTCATTTGGTCCCTTTGTGGCTGGACGTACAGTGTACGTCTCCCGTCACGAAGGGGTTAACATACAAAACACAACCTAGGGTTGTACTCAAATTGGCTGTGGAAATAAAAATAGATGTTCTACCAATTTGGCCGTGGAAATACACTGTGGTGGCAGATTTCAATATATATTTATTTAAATTTAGTATTCGTAGACAGTGAATTGTGTGCAAAGGTAGAGCTGGGGTTTAGTGATCATGTTACAGTGAATAACAGGGAGGGGGGAGCTGTTTACAGCCTGCTTTACAATCCAATATCGGTGTCAGACAATGTCAGAAAATGTTTAATTTGTAGGATTCAGGCCTAATAAGTTCATAAAAATGAAGAAACCCTGCAATGTGAGTCATTAAAATGTGCACATGTGTACATCTTAACTGCACCTCTATATTACCACACTAAATGCTAATCACTTACAAAGGTGGAAATGAGCTTTAAGTGCTTTTATAGAATACCACAATGTGTATATTATTTGTAGCTTTCACTTCTTTTTATTACAGCTAGCAATGTGGAAGTACTGATGTCTGGTAATGTAAGATGCTACAACATCATAATGGAAGCTATGAAAACATTTCCAAACAGTGAGAAAATTCAAGAAGTGTGCTGCTGTTTGTTCCAGAAACTTACATTTGGTGAGCATTGTGTTTTGTTGGTAGAAATATATTAAAGTTTCAGTAACTGGAGCATAAGCCATGCTACAGCCGCTAAATGTTTTGTTTTACATGCACATTGTTGCTGTTAACTGTATAAATGTTTTCTTGATTTATGTGTTGATAGTAAAAACAGGCAGCTATTTCAATTAAGAGTTCTTATTCATAAGTGCATTAACCCATAGCAACCAGCGATAATAATTGTGCTGACACCAGGCCAATCCATAATGGATTTTGGGTGTTATTGGAATAAGAACAATGTAAGTAGGTTGGAAGTTTGTGTATTCTTCAGATTGCTGTAAATGATGGTGTAACCTTACTGAAGCTATGTCCCTCTATTGTTTACATTATTTTTTCATGGTAGTGGATAGGTAGCTCAGGCACAACAGAATTTAGTTTCAGACTATTTTATCTTTCAAAAGATCACGGTATCGGCTGAAGTTACCCTTGACTCAATAAGATAATTACTAGCGACGTCCCGATACTGATTCTAGTATTGGTATCGGGGGTGATACCAGGCATTTTCAGAAGTACTGAGAACTCCTGAAAATGCCCTGATTCTTAAAGCAGAACTATGAGGTGAGTGACTGACTGAAAGTCCCTAAAAGGGCAAGGAGTCACAAGGATGGTTACAAGAAAGGTTACACAGCAAATTAAAGGAGAACTATGAGGAGTGAGAAATCACTCTTCCTCATCGTTCGAGCCGACCTGTGACAATGAAACTGTCACACGTCGGCTCAATAGATCGGGAAGGGAGCGAACACATACCATCACTCGCTCACTTCTCGATCATCTCCCTGCACTTAAAGAGAACTATGCGATAAAAAGGTTACCCCATAGTTCTCTATTAAGGCTGATACCGGCCCTTTAAATTTTTAAACCGCAGCGGCTGTCATGAGTCCCTGCGCTTGTGGCAACTTCAGGCAGCCTGCTGGGGACCTGGCAGTAGCTGTCCTTGGCTGTGCCTGTGTGGTTCTAGATCTCCTCCTTCCCGGAGCAAGCACATCCATGGACAGTCCCACACAGCACCGTACAGCCCCAGAGACGGCACCTGCCCGATCAACTCTGCACAACATGGCCTCAGAGCCCTGCAGAGATCCACATGCCGCCCGGGTGATATCGGCACGCAGCCTGGTGAGATGTATTCTGCTCTGGGGACATCTGTATTTAGCTATGGTGAGAAACTGCCCTAAAATCATCAAAAAAAAGTCACATGTCCCTTTAACAAAAAGTAACAGTAATTGGTATCGGCAAGTACCTGAGGGAAAGAACTTGGTCTTGGAAAAAGTGGTATCGCGGCATCCCTAGTATAATTACACTGGGATTTATTCTGTTTAGACCAGCTATTTAAAGCAGAAATAAACCCTCCTATCTTTTACAGCCAAGGAAGACACCATCTTTGCCAACCTCTATTTGGATTACAGTTGCCATGGTGCTGCACATTCAAGCCCATTCGAGGGCTTGAAGGTTTGTTTGAGAGCTGACATAGGCACACTGGCAATTCACAGTTGGCATGCCTTGAAAGTAACTGTTCTGGGAGACAATTAATTTAGTGGGTCTATTTCTGCTGTAGCGCTCGCCCCCGAAGGAGCTGTTAGAATATACGGGTACTTCTGTCTCACCTCTGTGATAGACCTCAGGTAATGGATCCACAGCACACCAGCACACCTTATGAGGTTTTGTAAAAGTTTTACTAAACAAATAATGTAGTATCCAATAAATGCATGAACAGGTACAACAATGGCAAATAAACAGCAAGTAATAGAAGCATTTTAAATGTGCAGATAAATCTTAAATGTCGCTGCCTATCTGCATATGCAAGCAATACTGAACTGACTAATGTAATTCTTTCAGCAAACTATGAAGGAAAAAGTATCAGTCCAAACAGACGCGGGCCTTAAACTTACTGGCCAGTGGTATTTAACTAGGCTAGCTGTTGGTGGGGCCCAAGTTCTGATTGTATGGTTGAATAGACAGAAAATCACAGTGCCCAATGGCCTCTCACCACTCTTGCAGCTTGGATTGTGGCTCCCCACATGGGTAGGTGAAAAGAGGCGGTTTCTCCTCTGCAGCCAACAGCTTTTCCAGTTTCCAGTAGCAGCAGCTTGTGTCACACAGTAGCAGTAGCGATGCTTGGAGCACGTCTCTGTAGAATCTAATCACTCAGGAAAGGGCTGGCAGGGTCTCTTTCTGGTACAGCAGTCACTGGATCCCCTAACCAGTTTATGTAGCATTTCCCACACTGTTGAAGAATCTTTCAGCTGGATCCCTCAGTAGGAGAGCAGACAGGCTCAGACACTGGAATCACATATACTGTTCAGGAGACACTGATCACAAGCAACACCTCAGGTTTTATCTCACCCCTGAGATGACTAGCAGACAACACTTCACAATACATCCAGCCACAGGCAAATCCCTTGCCGACCTGAGCGCGTTCTGAGAGAAGGTTCAGTCCCCTTTTCCTTCCAGATCACAAAGCCTCCTGGGTCTTGTAGTCCAGTGCAGCATAACTTTAATTGTTTCTTCATGTGTTAAAACTGCAACTCCCACAAACAGTTAAGCACTGCTGAGAGTTGAGCCAATCAAGTCTCTGTAGCAACATACAGTCTTAAAGCGGCATTGCTCTTAAAAGTGAAATAACAATGGTCCGCTACACTGCTTTTAAGGTGAAACTATATTTGGGGGGTTTATTCAGCCTAAGGGCCTGTGTCAATGGCCTTTGTAGTTCCATCACTGGGCAAATGCAACTTGCTTTCAGGTGTGTTCTGTTTGCATTTGGCATAAAAGTAGGATGCTTTTGAGGCTGGGTTCACACCTAGGCGTTTTTCAGCGCTGATCGAAGCGCTGAAAAACGCTCAAACAGTGAAATCCCATACTTCCCTATGGGCATGGTTCCCACCTGGGCGTATTTCAGCCCGTGGAAACGCACTGAAAAACGGCCTATGCCCAAACAAGTACAGGAGCTTCTTTGGGGCGTTTTTCCACGCGTTTCCATTGGTATTCCCGAGTGTGGCTCGGGGTTAACAAAGCGGTAACCCCGAGCCACACTTGGGAATACAGCGTAGGACTTACCTTGTCCGCGATCCCCACTGTGTCCTCCTGCGGCTGCCGACTTCCGGGTTCCTTCCCTTGCGGGCGGCCGCTTCGCAGGGGGGCTGAACTGGCGGGAAGTTGGAAAAAAAATTAAAAATCCTATCGCCAGTGAAACGCGCGTTTTACTGAACGGAAAAACGTGCTAAACGAGCAGAAAAAACGTGGCTATGCTACGCCCAGGTGTGAACCCAGCCTAAGAGTATTTGGAGTTCATTGACATGAGCGGTTTACTTGCAGATGACCTCCTTATGACATGCATTTGGCTTTTTTGTTATCATTGATTTTTATGGGGAGAGAAGTAGTACTGATGTAAACAAAAGTTCATAGACATAGCAATCATAAGAATTTGTAGCTTTTTTATTGTTAAGGCCAAATCACACCATATGCTTTGAGTTGTGGTCTATGTATTTCCAGTGCATAGACAAGGCAATTTGCCTTACGTCCTATTAGTTCAGTTCACACCACTGCACTTTAGTGGTGTCTGTTAACAAAATGTGATGTACTACACTGCAACACGCTAAAGATTAATAAAATGTCATTTTATGACATGTCATAAAGCTAGAAGAAAAAAAGAAAAGTAAACCGTGCACTGCGTCATTACAGTGCAAAAACAAGTATTAACTCTTGCAGTGTGAGGGGAGCCCCACTGCAAGGAGAGTTTTTTTTCTGTTTTCCCCGTAGATGCATTTTATAACTACAATTACCCTTTAAACATGTCCTGTCTTTCATGAAATGCATGTCTCATTAGTGGGTTGTGTTTTTCTGTGTCTTTTTAGGAAGCTTCTTCAACATTCTGGTTCTAAATGAGGCTCATGAAGTCATCATTAAGGCACTGACAAACTATTCTGCAAATCCAAAACTGCAAGCAGCAGCTTTATCATGCTTGGCTCTACTTAGTAAGTTTTATGTATGCAACTTAAAGTGTATTAGATATAACTCATTCTCTCGATCTCTCGATACAACTCAAAATTCTTACTGGCTGGGACACTATAGTATACCACTATACGGTCCATCCATGTTATTCTGACATTCATTCTCGCACGCTCTGCAAGAGGTTATATATTATATACTGATTGCACTGTTTTGTTCTTCTGTATGCATTCTCTGAAAAAGCACACTTTCTCTACATCTGTAAATTCTAGGGATACACTGAAATTTCGCCTGCCGAAACTTACTGGTCGAAAATGGCACTTTTGGCAAAATGCCGAAATAACGGTGCATCCATAGTTTCTCTCCTCCCCGCTGAAACAGCACAGCGGGGAGGAGAGAAACTGTCACAGGAGGCAGAGCGGTGCGGGGGTGGCGAGCGCTGTGAGTGGCCGACGTCTCTCCTCCCACACTGCTCAGCCTCCTGTCACAGATCAGAGGAGAGCAGTGTGGGGTGAAAACAGCTTTCAGTGCTGTCACAGGAGGGTAAGCTCTCCTCCCGCCCCGTCCCGCCCAGCCTTCTGTGACAGATGAGAGCATGTGTGAGTGGAGACAGCTGTAAGCTGTCACAAGAGGCCGGGTGGCAGTTCGGGGGAGAAGTCTACTGACAGAGGAGATCGAGATCTCCTCCCCACACTGCTCGTTCAGCCTCCTGTGACAACCGATCGAGGAAGGAGATCAGGTACAAGCAGTCGGTGATCAGCGATCAGAGTGTTTGTACATAATTGAGGACATAGTATGTTTACTGTGCCCCAATTATGAATGAATGGGAAGTGATCTACATCACCTCCTGTTCATTTATGATTGTGGTTATAGTAAAGATACTATGTCCTCAAGTTATGAATGAAAAGGAACACTCAGTATAGAGGATTCCTGTTCATTTATAACGGGCTGCAGAAAAAGCGATTCAGAACAGAGTCCCCATTTTGTTTTTCTTTCTGCTTCTTCTTTCTTTCTTCTTTCCCCGACGCCCCTAAAAGTAAAGTAAAAAAAAAAATTAAATAAAATATTTTCAAAAATGTAAAAGGTTAGAAAAAAAACTTTCAGTTTCGGCATGACCTTTTTTTAAAATTTTGTTTTCATTTCAGTGCACCTCTAGTAAATTCCCTTTTTTTTTTTTCTGACCCCTCTATATCACTTGATGCTACATTGCTTTCATCATAGCTGTGACCTCTGTGTCCCCTATTCTGAATCCTTTGGTGAAAATGCATAAATGTATGTTTTATTGCTGAAGACCTGTAGGGAAAAAGACATGCAGAGAAAAAAAAAGACGAGAATTCGAGTTTTGATCATTTTGTTCAGCTGTATTACAATATTTTGCCTGTCTGGATTTTCTGCTCTATAGCTGTTTGCATTATTCATTTTTCTGAAAACTATCTTCTTTTCCTTTTAGCTGAAACTATTTTTCTGAACAAAGACTTGGAGGATAGAGAAGATTTGGAAGATACTAGAGGACAGCTTTATTGGTTTGAAGCTTCATATAAAGCTTTAAAACTACACAAAAAGAGCACAGATGTGCAGGTAATTTAATGCATGTTTGTTGTGCTTTAATTTCAGTTAAAGTGTAGCTATACCTAAAAACAAAAATGTACTCTATTGCAGCTTAGCAGTCCTCAGATATGGTGGCTGCATTACGTTAATTTTTTCATTCTTTTCCCCATTATTTATTTCTATTTTCACCTGATGATCCTACCAGTAACACACTCCCTGTCCTAGGGTGACGACGCTGACTACACTGTATTTATAGAGGGAACCATGGTTGTCACCCAGGCTGGACTTCAAACATGTCTCCTATTGTTCATATCCATTATATGGTGGGGGATTAGTAGTTTAAAGCAGATTTTTTGTACTTGCTGAAAATGTTCTTACCATAAAAAAAAACTAATGCAACCGTCACATCTATGGACTGGTAAAACATTTTTTTTCTTATTTGTTAATTCAATTGATATTGCAGTAACATTTCACATACCTCTTTGTTGGAGTTTCTATTTTTGTCAGATCCAAGTTTTTGCATCTGGTCCTTGTTGTTGTTTTGCTTTTTTATTGTGTTAAGTACATCTAAGTCATGGGTATTACAAGAATGTGAAAGCATTGAATTGCCACATTACATCCCAGAAAGTGGTCCTTGACTGCTTTTATATACTGTGTTTCAGTAGTATCCATCTTCTTTGCATCGTACGATAACTTACACCTAAAGTTGCCGAAACCTAACAACCCAATATGCCGAGGCATATCTAGAGGCAGAGCCAGCTGTACCCGCCCCGTCCGTTCCGCCCCTCCCCTGTCACGGCAGAGAGCTGTGACAGGATCGAGAAGTGAGCGAAAGCCGGTATGTGTTCGCTCACTTCTCGATCTACTGAGCCGACATGTGACAGTCTCATTGTCACAGGTCGGCTAGAACTATGAGATGAGTGAAAAGCACTCACCTCATAGTTTTCCTTTTTAAATGTAGATTTCATTTTTTTTTTATTTTTTGTACAATTTTCAAAGTTTTCCTTCATAACTTGGTTCCTTTTTGTTTTTCCATCCAAGGGTAAATGGTAATATTGCCATTCAACATGTAAATTCTTATCTTGCTTGTTGTGTTTGGCTTTTTAAAGTAAAGTATCTTTTTAAAAGGGAACTATGGGGTAAGTATTTTTTCCCATAGTTCTCTTTAGGGTCACAGGAGGACATAAAACTAGCGTACTCCCCTAACCCAAAGCTCAGTATATCGCGAGCTATTGCCCGCAATATACTGAGCGCGCCGCAGCCGGGACAGATTCCAACAATACTGTCTGGATCCACCCAGCTGCGTGAGTAACAGTGGGCTGTGCCTATCTGGAGGCAGAGCCAGCTGTGCCCGCCCCCTCCGCCGTTCTTTCTTCCACTCAGTGCTGGAGGATCGGAGAGGGGAGGGGGAATCCCTGCGGGGAGCGGTGACTTACAGTCACCGCTCACTGCAGGGAGACGATCGGCAAGTGAGCGGATTGGCCCATGTTTCTGCTCACTTCCCGATCGATAGAACCGACCTGTTAAAGCTTCTTTGTCACAGGTCGGCTCAAACTATGAAGATGAGTGGAAATCACGCACCTCATAGTTCTCCTTTTAAGCTAGTCAGCATTTTATTTTAGTGATCACACTGATTGTGAATTTGCAAGTGTTAATTGCAATTGTGTTTTAATATTTAAAACTGAGCTCCAGTTGCTAAATGTACAGTTAAAATACACATGTGTGAATTACCATACCTTCTATAAGATTCAGTCATGTCCTTGACCTTCATTGCAACACTATCTTAGCTTGGTCGAGGAGATACTATTGGCCTGCTGATTGGACAGTAAATATGAGCAGGATCCTGAGAAGGGTTATCCTTCTGTACTGCTGTCCAGTAAGCATGTTCAGAGTAAATTAGTTAAGTGCATTAATAATTACCAATATGTCTCATACACACCAAAGGGCATTTTTTTTACACTACTATATTACAGCTTTAGCATCTACTTGTTTGTTTTAGGAAGCTGCATGCTGGTCTCTGAATAATCTGTTTATGTACCATCCTGAGCTTCATGATAACATTGGGGATGAACAACATCAGTAAGTAGCACTAAATTATTTAAAGTCTACATAAACTCTAGAAATCATTATTGAACACTAACTATATGTACAATTACATCAGGTATCCTGTACATAGAGAAGTGATGTTGTCCATGCTGATGCATTCTTCTTGCAAAGAAGTATTCAATGCATCTACAACAGCCTTGGCTACCCTTTCTGAACGTAATGGTAAGTTGGGTTCTATATTCATTTTGTTGCTCGGTGCAAAATCTTTAACGCTACCTTACCCCAGTTTGGTTAAACTATTGATTTACTTTGTGAGCAAGCACAACAGTGAAACACATGTTTGTGTATTTGTAGCATACAGAAGAATTAAAGGGAATTAAACAGTTTATTTTTTTATTTTGCAGCGGTTATTAGAAAAAATTTATTGGAAAAAGGAGTTCATATGAATGTGCTAGAAATTATGAAAAAACACCTTGATTTTCCAGAAGCAACCGAGAGTGCCTGCAGAGTATTGCTTCATCTCTTCAGTGATAGGTATTCTAAGTGCACAAATCAATCCTCTCAATCTAGATCTTGCCCATTTTATACTTGTCTGTCTTTATATAAATGCCCATGGCTTGCAAATGTATTTGTGGCTATGATCTATGTATTTTTGCATACCGGTGGGTGATTGGCTGCATTTTTGAAAATGAAGCAAAATCTATGACAACATTTCTGACTCCTATTGTCTTGCTGATGCACATAGTTTAGTTTCTCTTTCCTCTTTGGAGGCTACACTTAGGAGTCTAATAATGTTTTCAGAAGGGTCACACCACTTTCAACCAGGAGTCACATATTTTTCCAACTTGGATTCAATTGGAAAATATCAGAGTTATGATTAAAGTTGTTGGGAATTTTTTTATTTTTTAATGGAAATGGCCACTTTGCTATAAAGATTTGTTTCTAAATCCTTTTTAGAGTAAAACTTAAACTCTTTGTAAATACTTTTTTATTGTATTTTTAAGCTCTTTTAATTTGGATGTAATGACTGTAACTATGACATGTCTGATGAATGCAATGAAGAAGCACAGGAAAGTGGCATGTGTTCAGCTGGTGGCTCTGCGGATGATGCTACAGGTCATGTTTAATGGTAAGTCTTTTGCTTACTGTATTTCCACAGGTAATTTATGTGTAATAGTACATGATATGCACACCAAACTACATTCTCCCATCTGAAAGCTCACTATTGTCTTTCTTTTTATGGGCTAGGTTTAGCCACTGTTTAGTTCAGGACTTGGTGCCCATTCATCCTCTTTACTTAATTGTACAGACACAGGATCAGAGTCTACATCATGGGTTAAATGCAGCCCTCCTCAGGACACTAGGAAATAAAGCTATAAGGACAGCCCCAATATAACCTCTCCCACAAACCTCAGTTTTTTGTTTTTTGACTAGTTTAAAATTGGCAGGCGCACTTCCTCATTTGGGAAAGAAGGCTAGGAAGCTGACTTAGCTTAAAATTGCACCTGGAAGGTTCACTCTGGGTGGTGTAAAGCTAAGCAATTCCATTCTAGGAAATGCGTGGATACGAATATTGTCTTTCCTCCAGTCTAGTCTGGATCAGCATTTGCCCTTGGATCAGCATTTGCCCTTGAGACCTACAGTAGTTATCCTTTTTCAAAGACTATTTGCCTTTCACGCCTTTTGTAAAGGCTTTTGTGCAGGGTCGGTCACATTGCTCTCTCTGTATGCTCCCCAGTGATTCTATGGGATCTCAACCTGGTTCTAAGGGCCCTTCAGAGGCCACTCTTTGAACCCACAAAGGATATTCCTATGGTTGTCCTCAATCGTAAGTTTGCCTTCATCCTTCCTATCACTCTGTGAGGTGAGTTGGCGGTCTTGTCCTTCAGAAAGCCTTTCCTAATGTTGCAAAGGGATAAGGCTGTCCTGAGGCAAAGGTGTGTGTGTTTTTTTCCCTTCCATCTCAACTAGTGCATTTTTCTCCCCTCTTTATGTCCTGCTACAAAACACTAAGGGAAATCTCTCTCCTCTGTCTTCTTATGGAATGTGTTACCCAAGGTTTCCTATTCCAAAAATATGCTGGTAGGTTAATTGGCTCCAGTTTAAATTAGCCCTAGTATGTGTGTACAAATTGCATATGCACATACAGTATTGTTGTGTGTTTTTTTTTTTTAACACATTTAATGGTTAATATTTCTTTTTCAGAAAGCATGTTGAATGTAGCAAATGATACAGTGAATTCTGAAGAAACTGCTTGTCTTAATCTCCCAGTTAAAGTGATTAAGAACCAGTGTCTACTAGAAGGAACACATAAGTTAATTTTGGAAGCCCTTAACAAAGTAGGTTTAGAAAAATGTGTTATTCACACCAGTTTTAAAATATGTATAATTGTTACTCTTTGCTAATTAACCCAAGCAGTTAGTAATTCCAGAAAGAACACTATTATAAAAATTCGAACTGCTTTGTTAATGACGTGTTGCCTAACAAACTATTACACACGCATAACTTTTCTTTTGTCTTCAAATTGTGAACCTATTGATATTTTGTGGGCTTCTGCTTATTAGTAGTAAAAGACATGAACAGCCAGGTCATGCACCTGGGTTGTGCTTATAGTCCTCCATTGTACTATAGATGGCTGAAAAGATTCTTCTATTGAAAGGCTATTAGTACAGCCCTCAAGGAGAAAACCCACATTTTGTAAGCTGTATGATAAATATATACAAGATAGTAAAACGATTTGATAGGGGCTCACCTGTGTGTGAGCTTATGTCTCATGTTGGGGCATTGAAAGGATGCTTGTGTAGGTTTGCTTACGTTAGAATGCTACTGGCAACTTTAACCGGCCTATTTGTCAATCTTTGCTTCCCTGTCTTTCACATATTTATACAAAGAAGAGTGTACATTTTGTGTGTGTGAATGGATGCTGCTTCTTTAGGCTTAACCGTTTTAGTCTCCTGCAGCATTAGCTGGTCCCCTGATATCCTGTTTTAGGGTGGCTCCTTTCTCTTGCAGGGTCCTGTGGAGCCACCTTTGTTTGTGCTGGTAAGCTGTGTGTGTCTCCACAGGCATAGCAGGGCAAACCCCTTTCTTTACCTTTCCCTCTCCTCATTACCTGCTGCTGGAGACTGTGCTGTCCTTTGTGATCTTTTACTGGACATGATGCTCAGGGAAGTTAAGCAGAGAGAGAGTTAGAACACTTAGTCATCATGTTTTCTATTTGGAAACATAACTGTAATGCTGGCCATACACTGTTCTATTTTCTTTCATTCAACCAGCAGGCTGAATGAAAAAAATACAACAGATTCCTCCATCAATGCTTACAATCGTTGATCAAGGAATCTCCTGTGGTCTTCGTTTCATTCTGACAGCAGCTGCCGCCGGCTTCGTTAGTTCGAATGTTTTCCGATCGGCAGCTTCGATCATTTGATTGAGGGATGCCAGCAAAAAGGGTGCCGACAGCTGCACCCACTGTGCGAATCTTGGCCAGTTTATCAAGAACCGGCTGAAATTTGGTTCCTGTATGATTGGAAGCCCTTAACAAAGTAGGTTTAGAAAAATGTGTTATTCACACCAGTTTTAAAATATGTATAATTGTTACTCTTTGCTAATTAACCCAAGCAGTTAGTAATTCCAGAAAGAACACTATTATAAAAATTCGAACTGCTTTGTTAATGACGTGTTGCCTAACAAACTATTACACACGCATAACTTTTCTTTTGTCTTCAAATTGTGAACCTATTGATATTTTGTGGGCTTCTGCTTATTAGTAGTAAAAGACATGAACAGCCAGGTCATGCACCTGGGTTGTGCTTATAGTCCTCCATTGTACTATAGATGGCTGAAAAGATTCTTCTATTGAAAGGCTATTAGTACAGCCCTCAAGGAGAAAACCCACATTTTGTAAGCTGTATGATAAATATATACAAGATAGTAAAACGATTTGATAGGGGCTCACCTGTGTGTGAGCTTATGTCTCATGTTGGGGCATTGAAAGGATGCTTGTGTAGGTTTGCTTACGTTAGAATGCTACTGGCAACTTTAACCGGCCTATTTGTCAATCTTTGCTTCCCTGTCTTTCACATATTTATACAAAGAAGAGTGTACATTTTGTGTGTGTGAATGGATGCTGCTTCTTTAGGCTTAACCGTTTTAGTCTCCTGCAGCATTAGCTGGTCCCCTGATATCCTGTTTTAGGGTGGCTCCTTTCTCTTGCAGGGTCCTGTGGAGCCACCTTTGTTTGTGCTGGTAAGCTGTGTGTGTCTCCACAGGCATAGCAGGGCAAACCCCTTTCTTTACCTTTCCCTCTCCTCATTACCTGCTGCTGGAGACTGTGCTGTCCTTTGTGATCTTTTACTGGACATGATGCTCAGGGAAGTTAAGCAGAGAGAGAGTTAGAACACTTAGTCATCATGTTTTCTATTTGGAAACATAACTGTAATGCTGGCCATACACTGTTCTATTTTCTTTCATTCAACCAGCAGGCTGAATGAAAAAAATACAACAGATTCCTCCATCAATGCTTACAATCGTTGATCAAGGAATCTCCTGTGGTCTTCGTTTCATTCTGACAGCAGCTGCCGCCGGCTTCGTTAGTTCGAATGTTTTCCGATCGGCAGCTTCGATCATTTGATTGAGGGATGCCAGCAAAAAGGGTGCCGACAGCTGCACCCACTGTGCGAATCTTGGCCAGTTTATCAAGAACCGGCTGAAATTTGGTTCCTGTATGCCCACCTTAAGTGTTTGGGCAAAAAATGTAAAAAAATAAAAAAAATAAAAAAAAATAGTTTAATCAGATGGCACAAATTTGTGTTTGTTAATATAGTAAACAAAAATGCAAAAATAATTTTTCAATCAAATTGTTTTTTTTCTTAATTTTCAGTTTATTGGCAATCCTGCTATACAGGAATGTGGTTTTAAAGTTCTTAGCTGCTTATCAGAATGCACAGGAGCGCTGGAATTACTTTCAGAGCAGGGAGCTATTGATACCATTTTACATACAATCCAGATGTACCCAGGAAACCAAGGTAATTCCTATATTACTAATATTAACATCACAATAATGTGTTTTTACTGCATGCAATTAATTTATAATTAGTAGTTTGCAGATCTTTTGATCATTCCAGTTCACGTAAACCTGTGACAAACCTGGACAACTCAAAAACTGAGCACATGGGGAAAAAAAATGCATAATCAAGGGTTGCTCTTTGTGAAAATCTCAATGAACTTAATACATCCGAAGATAGATGTGGGCAGCTGAAATGTATGCATCTCTTCTTCTTTGCAAAAGGAAAGCTTTGCCCAATCCCTTAAAGCCTCACTATTGGACCTATAAATGGGAAAGACAGCCTCATTAACCAACTTTAGCCAAAACCTGACCAATTCACTGCTAGGGTTGCAAACTAAAGATGTGCAATATTAATTGGCATCTAGATTAATATATTTTTAGCAGGTTGCTCTTTCCATATTATTACTCAAAGCCCTTAATATGTATCTTCTTACTCGAAGTCCTTAATTTAAATTCTTCAACAGAGTTCTATATACAATGTTAAGTTTGTTGTGAAATACATTTTAAAAGAAAAAACAGTGGAAAAACGAAAAAATTGGTAACGGTCTGTCTGCCTGCCAAACATATAGAAATCAGGAAATGATAGTTTTAAGTTGTTCTTCATTAATGTTAAGGCTGTCTGATCATTTTGTGACGGCTGGAGCTTGGAGGATCGGCGAGGTACATATTTGCCCATGTCGGTAGCTCGGTATGGTCATCAGGCTGCAATTTGCAAACGCTCCCAGAAGATGCGACTGGCTCAGGCGGCCATCAAACCACGCCCCCTGTCTGATCATTTTGATCTGTGTGTGTTTTTTTGTCTTCTTTTTTTTTTTTTTACTGAAGGTAAGTAACCTGACTAGACATTTTTCATCATTCTCTGTTTTGCCTAGGTTTGTGAAAGATTTACATTTACAAAGTGGTAATTTGTTACAACTTGCTTTGTGTGAGTTTGAATCCCACCAAGGATGCTATCTTGGAGCTCCATGCTATATCTCCATGCTATCATGGAGTTTGTAGGTTCTTTGGTTGCTCCAGTTACCTCCCACAAACCAATAACATACTGGTATGTTGATTTGCTTCTGCTCTACTGTGACTTAGTGTGGTAGGAAAATTAGATTGGGAGCTACGTTGGTGCAGGGACTGATGTAAATGGTTCTAAGTATTTGTCAATTGATGACTATGTAAACAAAAAAAGGCGTCTCAATACTTTTGGCAATATAGTGTACATTAAATAGGTCCTTTCTGCCATTTTACAGCAGTTTTACCATCCTAGAAGTTGGCTGTCGCAAGGATCACATAAATCTCTGGCAACACTTACTGGTTTTGGTTTTGAAAATTGTGTCTGTCATATTTGGATAGTTGCTGTGATCCTAAATGAATGCTATTTATCTTCTAGAAATCCAGTGTTTTGGTCTCTATCTCCTGTCATATTTGGTTACAAGAAAAAACTTGTGTATTGCCACCATGCACCTTTTATCAAGTCATCTGGTTTCCACATTACAACGGTACAAAGATGTTGTCAGGATTCAAGAGGAGGTATGCTTTGGTGTTTTAACATGATAGATATACAGGTGCTGCCATCTCCATCTTCTTTCAAAAGTTGCTAGTTACCTACCTGTTATACTCATCCTTTGTCTTCACTTATTAAGTCAAATGCTAGGTGCCTGCACAATGCCTTTGTAAAGTGCCTGATTTACCTTAAAAACTGGGTGTTCTATAACAGGGAAAAACAACTAGTTGTCTTTCTCGCTGTACACTTGGGCCCCATCATACACTTCAGGTAACTGGCAGTAGAACGTGTGGATTGTACAATGACTAGGAACAGAAGTGGTCACTTTTGGTATAATACACCTCCCGTTACTACTGATAGTTTACTAATAAACTGTCCAGGCGCAGTCATGTATCTTGCCTATGGCTGGACTGGCATGCTTTGCTAATTGGGCCACTGAACTAAAACAAGGGTGCAGGCTGGGATTTTTGACTTTGCTTGCTGCATACTTGTAATTGATCAGTGACTCACTAAATTAAGTGAAAAAACTGTGGGGGCTGATCCATATAATAAGGGGCATAGTAAAGTAGAAATAAAATGGAAGGGTTGCCCATAGTAACACATTTGAATCTTTCTTCAATTTTATTGTGCAGTCTGGTTGTAATAGTCTTCTTTTAATACTTCTATTTTTATAGAAATGCCACTGTATTGGCTTAAGGAGAACAATTTTACCCATATCAATGTGGTTTTTGTTTTCCAACTCCGAAGAATTCAGAATATATATATATATATATATATATACATTTTTTCTTTCTTCGTTCTCTTTAGGGATTTCGAACAGCCTTAACATTGATAAAGTTGTCACACAGCTTTGCAAAGCTTTTGGATCTAGAAGAATTTGACACTGTGCTTTTCTATCAGATTTCCCAGTGCTTGGCAAACAGACGGAGTCAAAAGGTAACTATCTGGTTTTTAGATTGACTGACTTTATTTTGTATGGTTTTTTTTTTTTTTAATCATATAATTTTCTTTCAGTTTCTGTTCTTGCACACTCTGCTGAATAATTATATAAAAATCTACTAGTCCAGCCTAGGCAGTAAAAATCTTAGTATACGGCTGCTAATGTTCCATGAAATTTGAATGGACCGTGCCCTACTGAAGGAGTAATCCTACCGGCAATGCTGCAATGGCTTTCCTGATCGGTTATGAAGTAAATTAGTTGTTTAGATAAGCCCTCCCATTTGTTGGTACTTCTAAAGGAGATTTTGCAGTTAGATTGTATTGTCAGTTTAAAGGATAAGTTCACCTTTTGCAAAAATTCAAGAAATTCATAATTAATAATATATATATATAAAAAAATTCCAGCAGGGGAAGTCCGAGGGGATCTCCAATTCAGCGTCCTCTGCTCCCGTATGTTTTTTAAAAAGGTCTACGTGTTTCAGGGGCACGCCCCCTTCATCAGAACCTGAGGTTGCTCTGTGTTGCTTTTGTTTCCCAGATCGATGGTCGTTGTTGACCGGTGGGAGCTGCCTCTAAGGTGTACCAATGAACTTTACAGCCGGATTTCTCTGCAAACCGGGGGCGCCGGTATTGCTTTTTTCAGTGTACATTAAATCACCTCATACGGCGTCCAGCCATTCTTGCTCTAGGTAGAGCTGCCCGTTTTCCCACATCTACCTAGAGCGAGGAAGGCTGGACGCTGTATGAGGTGATTTTAATGCAGTTTGAAGTCCAGCCATCCTTCCCCCATTTCTCCTAACTGAAGCTCTGCCTGGGAAAGTGTAGATCAAAAACGTTTCACGGCTAAATAATTCCCTGAAACGAAGACCATCGTCACCTTCCCAGGGGATAGTTTCTATCTTAAACAATTCTAAATTGCTGGAACAAGACTGATGGCTGTCAAGAAAGTGTTTGGGTACAGAGTGGTCAGTTTTCTTAAGAATGTTCTATTTGTGCTCACTGAATCTGGTCCTGAGCTTTCTAATAGTACGACCTAGGTACAATTTTCCACAGGGGCTGATAATTACTAAAATTAGATATTGGCATCCACAATTAATACATTGTCTGATTGGATAATATCCACCAATTGGGGACCCCAAACCTGAAATTGCCTGTCTGCCCAAAATACCCACTGGCTGTTTAGTAGAGGGAGTTTCCCTGATCTTACTAAGGGCTAATATGCTTTTCAGGTCACTAGGTTTTTTTAGAAATTAAAGTGGGAGCTGATGGAATAAAATCACTCAACACTGGATCGCCCTCCAAAATATTCCAATGTTGCTTGAGGGTCTTGGATATGCAGAATGCAGGGCAATTGTATTGTGTAATAAACTGAGCTATTTGGTGATGTTGTTTTTATTATTCTTGTTTGGATTGTTAGTTGACATGGTGGCATGTTTTTGTAAAGCTCCCTGGATTGTCTTGGTCATGGCAGTTATCTAGAAATTTCTGGCTGAGGACCTGACCTTGAGAAAAGTAATCCACATCTCTGGTACAGGTACGCCTCAATCTGTGGAATTGCCCATCTGGAACATTCTTCATTCCGCAGGGATGGTGCCCGCTTCGGGCATGGAGAAAAGTAACCTGCCATGGCTTAAAATGTGTACTGAAACAGACAGTACCATTGGTGTCAAATCCAAGTTCAAGATCCAAAAATACCAGATGGTTTTCATCAATAACATCGGAACGCACACCCCTCCGGATTTAGTGTTGCATACTTTTTTTTCCCTTTTTTGGTGGATCTTTCTACCTCCTCTGCACCCTCTAGGGTGTTGAGGTCTCTTTCTCATGTGGCGCCCTTTCGGGCTTTTGGCCTGATTTAAAAAAAACATCTGTATCCTGGACTGACAATACTCTTTTGTGTGGTAAAACTTTAGGTCTGCTGGTCCACTGCGACCGACTAGGAAGCGTTTTGTGAAGGATCAAACAAGGAAGTGTAAAGGCCAGGAGCTGAGTTGCCAGCCTTATTGGGGAAAGAGTGAGAAATCTGTGATTCACTCACCGCCTTGTGACTATCTTGAAGGGCAAGGTCTTGAGGTGAATTATTGATGGCAACATTCAACCTAATATGGACAGCACTGGCAGAAGTATGCGATGATGAATGAAAGACAATAGTATGTGCAGAGTCTTTAACAGATACGCCCTTAGGATTATTATCCAAGTTACCAGAAGTGATAGTATTAAAATGAGTGTTCACTGAGCCCTTTTTCTTGTATACACACCGAGACTTGAAGGGTCTTTTAGTATTCCAATATATATTGTTCTTTATTCTGTCGTGTGTGCCTGAATGTGTGTTGGAATTCGAATGGCTGGAAGGGACAACGGTATTGGTTGTAGCCTGATTGTCATTTGTTCCTACTTTGTGCATGTGAGTAGTTTTATCACCCTCTAACAATCTAAGTTTTAATAAAGGTTATTAAACATGGAGATTGCTGGTAAGGCTGAAATGAGGTGTTACATGAGGCTACTGGAGTAAAGTCTGTATACTGTAATGGTTCCTGGAATGAAAAGTTTGTTTGGTGCTCTGAGGATAGATTTCAAAAACTCACTTACGAGGCCCCTTGTATTTGGGCCTGGGTTCCCAAAGGGCTGCACAAGGACTTACAAAATGCTTTGAAAACCTAATCTAGGTACATTCAGACACATGCACGATCCTTCCACTTCAATAGAAATATTCTGGCCGGGTCAGGTTTAAGTTAAAAGTTACCTTTCTATTTCATTCTGCATTCTAAATACAATTTTCTAGAACTGACAAAAAAAGACTGAAAATGTGATTTCCTTGGGATCTCGCAACCTGGGTGCATTCTGTACACTGTGTACAAAAGCCAAAAATCTATTTATTTGTGTTCTTTTGACTCCCACCAGTCTTGACGCATTGCGTAGAGAAGCACAGAGACTCAGTGGTGATGTCACTAGGTCTAAAAAAATAGTATGTAATGAAAACAAAAAGTTTGTGTATAAAAATTTCATTATCTTGTTGCTGAAAAGGTAAGAGAAGAACCAGGGAAGCCAAAATATAATCTGATAAAACTTCAGCTTTAACAATGTTGCATAACTGAAAAATCCTTTGCCATCTGAGCCGATAATTTTTTGCACTGTGGACTCACTTTTTTTTTTTCTGTGTGCTTAATACTTGTGTAATTTTCTTTTATGATTTAGTTTCAGACTTCTTGTTATCAATGTTTTGCTGAAATGACTTTGGAAGAAGACTTGAAAAACAATTTACTGGTAAAGGCTTGTGCGGAAAATCATATAGCCATAGTGGAAAGCTTGCTTTTGTTGGGGGCAGATGTCAATAAAAAGACAAAATATACATCGCTGATCATTCAGGTACTTGTCTTGATGCGTTGTGTAATAGTTAGCAGGGTGTGTAAAGACCAATAACTTTTTTTTTTTTGTAATTGAAATGCTAGGGTCAGCAAAAAGATTCAACTGACATTTACAGATATAATTTGATTAAGGAGTGAATAGAAAGTAATATATTTGATATATAGTTGTGTGAGGATGCCAATGGATAACAACACAGATGTGTAAGGCCAGTTGAAAATATTTAACAATCAGTGAAATATTCTCTGGCTTATCAACTTGCACATAAACAAACCTGTTGTTCCCATCTTATTTTTGAACTGTTAGGGCTTCGTGTACTGCACAGGTTTATTCCCTGAAACAGTCCAAGAACGGCTAAGTTGAAAGCGCCGTAATGTGCGCCAACTAAACAAGACCTTGTACATGTCTGACTTCAATAATGCAGATTCTGTTTGGTTGCTTTGGGTTAAAAGATAATTTCCCTTGCTGTTTCTAGCACAGTATATTAAAGCTGTACGTGTCTAAATATAAACTGTATGTACTGTCCTTCACTATTCAAATGCTACCTATATTCTGCAGTATTGTAGTATGCGATGATACCCTTCTTATTGGACTAACAAAATATATAAAAGACAAGCTTTCGAGAGTTAACCTCTCTTCTTTAGGTCAGAAGCAATACTAATCAACATGACAACGTTTAACACTTAAAGCAAGAGAAAGTTGTTAGGGGGGGGGGGGGAGTGGGGTGTCATAAATGTTGGACCTGGGAGTAAAGAATGTATCCTGATAACTAGAACACAGAACAAATAAACATAGGATGAGCAATAAATCCTAAACAGATCAGGGGGTCCACCCCCCTCCCTAACAACTTTCTCTTGCTTTAAGTGTTAAACGTTGTCATGTTGATTAGTATTGCTTCTGACCTGAAAAATACACTGTACCCATGGCTTACAGTAGTTGTGTGCTGGGCTTTCTAAGAAACAATGCCCTACTTGCATACAGTCTGTGTATAGCTGAATGTTGTGTGGCTCTTGATCACTTAGGCCGCGTTCACACCTAGGCGACATCATTTTTGCACGTTTGTACACGTGCATTCAGCATGTGGTTATTTGCACGTTTATGCATGTGTCGCACATTTTAATGCCCGTTTGCGTGTACATAAAGAAGCGCGTTTTGACTGACCGCTTAAAACACATTGTGGGCAACGGACAAACACGTGCACAAACATGCAAAAACGTGTTTACTTTTAAGTAGACTTTGTAGGTCTGTTGTCTCTTTCAATTAGGTGCTCGAAATAGATGGTATGTTTTAGTCCTTTGTGTTTTATTACAAATCTCATCTAGCTAAGCTATTAAAACCAGAAAAGCTGGATTCTTAGCAAGGTCAAAGAGCAACCATGTGATAAATGCTAACTCTGGCAGAACCAGAGTTTTTTGGGCAGCCTTAGATTTCATGCATTTCGTATTTCAGGAGATGAATTAAAACTGCTTAGTGATATAAGTTGTGGCTGAAAATTATCTTGGCCTTCAGAGGAGTGATCTGCTTAATTGGCTATACAAACATTACTGGGAACTGACTTCACAAATTGTACTGATACTGTGAGCATTATAATTTCTTGTATTTACTTTTTTGTTTTTTGTTTTTTTAAGGACACAAAATACTTTTACATGGTTCCGTTTGAACAAAAATCTTACGGTTCATTATAGGCTGACAAATGTGTAAACATGAAAAAAAAGAGCACTATGACCAAACCTTTTTTCAGCTATACTTCTCTTTTAGGTCACAGGAGTACATTTACTAATACTGCCCACTATCACTATATGCTGACAGCGTAAAGCAATGCTGCAGCAGAGAAAGATCCCAACATTATTGTCGGAATCCACCCTGATGCCTGATTGACAGCTGGCTCTGCCTTTCTAGAGCCAGAGCCAGCTGTGCCCACCCCCTCCCTGTCTTCCTCCAATGAGTGCTGGAGTAACATAGAGGGGAGTAGTGACTGGCAGTCGCCGCTCTCTGCAGGGAGAACCTGTGAGCTAAGCGATCAGTGGTTTGTGATCGCTTCATTCTCAAGCAATAGAGCCGGCCTGTGACAGCTGCAGTGTCACACGCTGGCTCAAACTATTGGGAAGAGTACATTTTAGTCTCCCTATAGCTCTCCTTTTAATTTGATTATTTTAAAATACTTTGTTTTTTCTTTATGATGCTCCAAAAAAAATAATAAGAAAACAGAAATGTTTTAAAAAGTTGTATGTTAGGGGGATTAAGTAAATTTAGTGGTTAATCAGAAGTGGTAGGACAGGCAAAGAATTATGCAGGTTTTTTTATACTTGAAATATTAGGTTGCATATGATATCTGCAACTAATTAAAAGTATATTAAGTGAAATAGTTATTTTTATTACCTTCATTGAAGAAAATGATGACCTGGCTTTGGCACACAAACCTCCCTTTGCAGGGGACACATGCTCACCTAAGATACAAGTGTCAAGATACGAGTCTAAGTGACATGTTTGTCATCACCAATGCACATTGGAAGGACTGATGAGGTGGTGACCCTAGTGTCCTCCGGGCTACTTTGCTGCAAGCTACTACCCTATTGCAGCCTTAACTACACTTTTATGCCTGTGAGTATGCCCAGCGTCGGGGACATACTCCAATGAACGAATGCTAACTCACCCCTCCACATGTGACCAGTCATAACTAAAAGGCCACGAGCTGGGTCACGCTGCAAACAGACATGCCATACCATACCCCTTGTCTGTAGAAACAGGTGCTGCAACACCTGGACTTCGACTTTCAGATATGGGAAATGGACAGTGTATTAAATATACCTTTTATCCACAAGCAGTTAAAGAGTCCATATGCATTTGTATATTTGATGAGTAAATGTTTATATTTACAGACTTTTAAAAAATGTTTTTGTCTCACTAGGCTTGTGAAAAGGGCACCAATCCTAAACTGGTGGAACTATTGTTAAATCATGGAGTCCGTGAGCAGGATGCACAGACAGCCCTGCAGATCAGTATTAAAAATTGCAATAATGAAAATATAAGCTTATTGCTAAAAAAGCTTGGCTTAGATTTGGCCAATAACAGCATTTGCCTTGGAGGTTTCCATATGGGAAAAATTGAACCTTCATGGCTTCACCCACTGTTCTTAGAAAAACAACCAACCCTCAAACAGACTTCTGTAGATCAAGAAGAGAAACAAGGTATGTTTTCTTATATACGTCCATACACTTTGTGATTATGGAAATATTATACAGAAATAGGAACAAGGTAAGGAAATTAGGTGAACAAATGGAAAACAATTATTGTTTATTAAAATACAGTTGGGTTATATTGCCCCCTACAGGAGGTTCGGACACTGACAACAGATACAAATTGGAAGCCAGCCACCATATAACCCTCCTCCTAACCAGCATGTATATAAGAAATATATTTAGGTGGCCAAGCAACGAAGTTGCAAGGACACCTATTGTATCTGTTTAGATTATTATTATTTATTATTAGGTGGCCAAGCAACGGAGTTGCAAGGACACCTATTGTATCTGTTCAGATTATTATTTATTAGGTGGCCAAGGAACGAGTTGCAAGGACACCTATTGTATCTGTGTAGAATGTGCTCTGATTTGGTGGTGCCCTTTAGCTTCCAACAATCTGTTCAGATTATTATTATTTATTATTAGGTGGCCAAGCAACAAAGTTGCAAGGACACCTCTTGTTATTGTGCTGATTATTATTATTTTTATTATTATTATTATTCCGCCGCTTTATTCAAATGCCTGTAACAAGAGCTCTAAGTCAAAAACTCATGAAACTTTGCACAGTGGTGTAGCCCTGTGCTCTGCAGAGCCTATTATAATATAAAGGTCATAGGTCACATGATGTGGCAGCCATCTTGGTTTTTGTGACGATTTTTGTGAACTATTCAGAAACCTGCATCTCCAGAACCGCTAAAGCTACTGATGTACAACTTGCTCTGTGAGCTTATGCTTTGCTCTGTTGCCACATGTGCTCATTATAGCTCTATTGGTCACATGGTTTGGCCGCCATTTTGGATTGTGCAATATTCTGCCAACAACTTAAAGTCTGAAACCATTTATCAGAATAACTCCAAGCTTTGCACATATGTCCAGGGCGACCTCTTCTACCACGGTTGTAGAAACTGGCCTGATCCTAAAATCAAAATGGTCGCTGCAAGCCAATCATGTTTAGATGTTGTTATTGTTTTCAAAAGCCTGTTATGAGCGCACTGTCACTCACAAACTGATGCAACTTGGCCCAATGGTACAGCTCTATACTATGCCTAAAATTTTGCAACATAAAGGTCATAGGTCACATTACCTGGCAGCCATCTTGTTTTAGGTAATTAAATTCAGCTCCATATTCAAACATCCATTTCTCAGAAACTGATAACGCTACAGATCTGCAAATTGATGTGTATAGTCATGATATGATCTGCATTCACAACTGAACATTACAAGTCAATTGGTCACATGGTTCAGCGGCCATATTGAATTGTGTCAAATTCGACAAATATTGCTATTATTTTGATGCTCTTTTTTTCAAATGCGAATTATTGCCAGACCGTTATGTAAATACTCATCAAATTTGGCCCAATGGTAGAGAAAAGTGCAGTGTTTAATCTTTGTCAACATTAAGGTCATAGGTCGCATGCTCTGGCGGCCATCTTGGTTTACACAAACCTATTTTTGACAGTTTTCAAACATCTGTTTTTTCATAACCGCTAAGGCTACAGATATACAAATTTCTAGGTGAGGATAAGCTGAGTTCTGCAGTCATATATGTTTATTACAAGTCATGTGACCGCATGGTTTGGCAGCCATTTTGGATTGTACAGTATTCGGCAAACAACTTAAACTCTGAAACCATTTATCAGAATAACTCAAAACTTTGCACATATGCCCAGAGCTACCTGTTCTACCACGGTTGTAGAAACTGGCCCGAGCCCAAAATCAATATGGCCGCCGCAAGTAAATCAAATATAAAAATTGCATCCAATTGCATACATGTGCATTTATATCACTAGTGAAGTATGTTAAACATGTTATACATATGATAATTCAACATCATAACTGCCCAATACAATATGGCTTCCAGAGGTCATGTGTGCCTTACTGTAATCCATGGTAGTTTCCCTTCTCTTTGCTGCTCTTCCTTGTAAATCTGTATCTCTTCTCATGCTGGGGGAGAACTTCCCTTTGCAGCCTCTTCCTGTAGTGCTGGCTCAGGTTGTGAACCTTCACACTGACACCGTGTATCCATTTCAGAGACAAGGCAGTCTGCTGCAAAACAGAAATTCTGCCCAGCATGAGAACCGATACAGATTTAAAAGGAAGAGCAGCAAAGAGAAGGGAAACAACCATGGATTACAGTAAGGCACACATTACAGTATTGTTTTATGTTAAAAAATCTGAGGGTTTAATGTCACTTTAAGAACAGCTAATAATAACCTTAGAGACTGATCCTGACAGCATGTCATAATCAGATCTCACTAAAGGTTTTTGATCATGCTCAGATGATCAGAAGTGATACATTTCAGGCACAGTGATATTACAATGCATCTCTTTGCCTGAAATGTATCATGAACTTCGGCCGGTCTATCGAGCTGTCAAATGTCAAAACGAATAGCGGAGAGGTGACCCACTCTGCTACCTCTCTGCTATCTTCAGCTGTCAAATACGGGATTGCTATTTAGCGCTCCCGTATTTGTATGTTACGGCTTCATTCTTTTACAAAAGCTTAACTATTTCATTAATGAATGCCTCAATACTGAGATATTCATTAATGATTGGTAACCGCTGAAAATCAGCGGTTACTGGCATTACAGAGCCCTAAATAACTCTTCACGTACAGTGTACGTGGCCAGTCATATAGGCACTTTGTGGCGGGATGTACAGTGTACGTCTCCCGTCACGAAGGGGTTAAGGAATTCTAAAAAGAGAGCCCAACAAAAAGGGCCATAATACGAGTGGAGGGCAAAATATCAATATTATACAAAATGAGAGTATTTTATGCCAACCCCACCATATGTGAAGATAGTTGCCTAGTGCATTGGAGCATTGCCAGCAATAGTTTTGTTGATGGATAGATTCAGCTTGATTCTAATGGTGTAATTGGATGGTTATGGGACCTTTCCTGTAGTCCTCGTTTGAGCAATGACTTATGAGGTATCCCTCCCACCTTATCATATACATAATGGGATCTTCCCCCAGAAGTTTACACGAGAGTGTCTTGGGTATTGCAAAGTGATCCCAGGTTGTCAAGGGGGCTAAACATAAATGGGGAAAGGTTTTGCACACTGGGTCCCTGAGGGGGTGGATCTAGAGCTGCAGCTAACGATTATTTTCAAAATCGATTAGTTAGTCGATTATTACGTTCGATTAATTGGTTAATCAGATAAAAAATAAAATACATTTTAAAAAATGGCTCCAGTGATGGGACTACTAGTTTGTATTGAGATTGTAGTCCATCACAGGAGCAAGCTTGGAACAGTGGAAATAAAAAAAGAAAAAGTGTGGTGTGCAATATAGTGAAATGAAAAGTGTAAAATTATACAGCAATGAATGCAGAAATTATTTACATTATAGAGCACCATGTGTGGGAAAGTGCAGGCTTACCTGAGCAGTCTTCCAGCAACTTGCTTCTTAATCAGGCCTGTCTATCGGTGGCTGTCATCCACCCCCACACCTGCTCCTCCTTCTCCCCGCGTCCCTGTGCCGATCGTGGATGTTTGAGGGCGGTGAGCGTGAGGCGGGGAGGAGGGTGTGGATGTGGGTGGGCGGGTCTGGCAGCGGCGAGCGTGAGGTGTGGAGGAGGTGCGGCGCGCAGCTTGTGTGGAGCCGTGAACAGGGCCAACTAATCAGAGGCCGATTAATCGATGATTGAAAAAGTTGACAACTTTTTCAATAATCGATTAGTTGTTGCAGCCCTAGGTGGATCCCCCTAGGCCCTAGGAGTGGCCTAAACTCTATTGAGCATAGATCAAATTCTAATTGTGTTGTACGTTTGTCGGATCAGTATTAAAACAAATCCGCAACTTGACCGATGGGGGCAGCTTTGTTGTAAGGTTCTGAGTCTGGGAGACACCTCCCTTCCACAATTTTAGATTTCAAAAGAAACTTGTAGCTAAGCTGAGGTTTCTTGTTTAGACAGTAAAGTGAATTGTGAGTCATCTGAGATGAAAGAAGACTTTGGGAAGGGGGTAATGAGGATCATGTTACAAATTATAAGAAGTGGGTTAATCTATTTTCACAGTGTTATTGCAACCGAAGACCAATTCCTGTAACTGACTCACCTGATCCTTCTCTCAGCACGGCTCGCATTGCCGTCGGAGCTTCGTGACGTCACCCGTGATGTCACGAGACTCCTCTCCCTAGTTAAAGCCGACGGAGACACTTGTCTGGCGTTCTAGCAAGTGTGAAGACGCCAGGCAAGTTCCCCGTCGCCTAGCACTGAACATCACTGCCATTATTGGGCCGGTCAGAGCCCCACCAAAACCGCCATTCTCACAGCCACAAGTGATCTCCTGCCTCTCCTCTCAAACCTGGCTCCATCTGCAGCTCTCCATACCCAGCATTAGGATTACACAATTAAAGCCTGGACTGCAATTCCTCTCAGGAACCACAGGAGGGCACCAACGTCGCTCCAGTCAACCCTCTCCACTGAAATAGCAAGTACCCTGTCTTACAGACTGTTACCTCACATATGCCTGCAGATTAACAGTGTGGAATGTTATCCATTGCATCCAAGCATTGACGGTTGCCTTCTTTCACCCCAACAAACCACGAATTGCTCCCTTTAATAAAACCGCAACCTAACTTTAGCTCAAGATTGCTGATTGATTATTACCATTACTATTACTATTGCTATCTCTGCAGCTGTGATCCTCCACTCTACAGACCTGTGGGGTCTGATCGTTACAATTCCTGCCATTCAGCTTGGATAGGTCACAAGTATTCTCTATTAGTCAGTAGTTTTAAGTAATTCAATGAATTTAGTAAACATAGGTTGGACAGGCATTGAATAACACCTAAGTATTTTATGGAGTTGGACTTCTGCTTAAAGGGCACTTGGCATTGGGTGGTCATGGATATGGCTCAGTCCCACAGTCGATTCCTTGATACTTTTATAGATTCTTCATTCTCAGTATTGCAGCCTGCATTTATTGCTTTTGATTTTAACATCA